CTACAAGGGCAGCTGAAGAGCTAATAGTCTCTTGTGCCTATTAAATAAAGTAGTGTGTACTGAATTGTAATTTTCCAACCTGATGACATGATGATGTCATTGAGCATTTATCAAGTGCTTCCTTTGTGCCAAGCATGATCTAAGTGCTGTACTTTTATCATTTCATTTTATTATTTCACTAATTCTATGAGCAAAAGTTTATTTTCCTTACTTTACATATGAGAAACTAATGAAGTTTTTTTAGAATCGAGTTTAGCAGCCTGCTTCCCTACTTTTAAAATTATATATATTTAATATTCATCTATTATTTATTCAACAAATATTTATCAGCCACTGTATTCTAATCCCTGGGCTATACATAGAATAAAGTTGTGAATAATAAGATTCTTAACTGAAGAGGATTACCTTCCAGCAGAGGAGATAAATGAGTAAACAAGATAAATTACAGTTGGAAAAGCTACTATAAAATACAAATAAGATAATTAATGGATGGAAATTACCACAATAAAAATGGAATTAAGGTCTCCCTGAGAAAGACAGATTTGAGAGGTAAGACTTGAAAGGCAAGAATGAGTCAGAATTTAAAAGAACAAAGAGAAGCTTATTCCCATCCAAGGTCATATAAAGTATAAAGTCCCCAGAGCGGGAAAGGGCTTCGGGAAAGAGGAAAAGAATGACAGAGGTTTTGAGATGAGACGGAGAGGTAGCCATAATGTTATTATGGACCATAATAAAAAACCTGAATATAAATCTAAGAACACCAGAAAAACTCTGTCTTAAGCATGGCAGTGACTAGATATAATTTATAATGTTTTTTTTCTTTTTCTTTTTCGGTACTGTGGATCGAACTCACAACCTTGGGCTTGCCAGGCAGGTGCTTATGCCACTGAGCTAAATCCCCAGCCCTATAATTTATAATATTAAGTAATACAGTAAGTCCCTGACTCACCAACATTTCGTTGCAAACTTTTACAGATATGAACAGATCTTGCATCACATTCATAATATGAACAATTATTGAAGTAGCTCATGTGTCTGTGGGACACTGTCACAGCTGTGTTGCTGTGTGCTTACTGTACCGTGCCACAGTGTACAGTAGTGTAGTGCTTAGAGACCAGGATGTCTGGAAGCGAAAAGAAAGTGGTGGTGATGTGTAAGCGTCTGCTGCAAAGTGCAAAGCAATATGCATTGTACATTTGTGCCAAAAATGTCTAATGCTCACTTTGTTGGACTTACCAACAACTGTGACTTATAAATATTTTCCCAGAATGGAACTCATTCCTAACTCAGTGGCTTACTGTAATTCTAGTAATTCTAGTTTGTAAATGGCCAATGAATTTCAGATGGGCATGAACTGAGGGAAAGCAGTTAGGAAACAGGTTGGCTGGCTGTAGCAGTGGCACATGTCTGCAATCCCAGCACTTGAGGAGAAGCTGAGGCAAGAGGATCACCATAAGTTCAAGGCCAGCCTGGGATACACAGTGAGTTCAAGGTCAGGCTAAGGGCCGGGTATTTAGCTCTGCAGCATAAGCACCTGCCTTGCAAGTGTCTGGTCATGAGTTCAATTCTCAGTACCAAAAAAAAAAAAAAAAAAAAAAAAAAAAAGCCAGGCTAAACTACATGTAGGCTAAACTACATAGCAAGACCTTGCTTATCAAATAAAATAAAACAAAAACAAACAATAGGTTGATAAGATTAATGAATTGATGAAACAGATGAGCGATCTGTTAGAAAAGGCTACAGAAATGAATCTTTTGCATTTAATTACTTAAGGTCACAAATTACTATGTACTTAGAAAGTAAATGCAACCAGAGAAGGCTTAGGATATAGCCTTTAAGTATCACATTTCTTTTTATTGTAACTTCCAGTTCTGTCTATAGAGTAACAAGAATCAGATTCACTCTTCCCCTCAAACAACTTAGAAACTAGACAGAATAAAAGAAACTGTTTAGATAATTATCTATAGCCTCTCAAGACTAGGATCTCTCAGAGAAGGGAAATAAATGAGGTGAAATCCACCACTACCCTGGCCCTTTCATCTGTTGATAAGCACTTGACTGACGATTATAGAACACCTCTCTCAATTAAATGCATATGCTTTGTAAGAGATTTATTAGTGTACGAGTCACCAGCAAAAGAGACTGGAGAGTAAACTGGTCAGTCCTGAGAAGAACTAGGAACTATAGAATCAAGGAAGCCAAGAGACAATTTCAAAAGTGAGGTGTATATCAATTCTGTTGAAAGAACAAAAGTCAAGAAATATGAGAGAAAAGGATACAGGAATTTGGCACTGTATTTGTAATGGAGGATCTTGACAAGAACAGCTGCAGTGGAGAGTGGCCCCAAAGCCACACTGGAGCGGACTGTGGACACTGCAAAGAGATAGCGATATCTAAGACATCTGGACATAAAGGGGAGCAGAGAAATTGCGAAGTAACTACAGAAGGACATGTATTTGTGATGAGATTTATTAGACATCTGTACAGAGGAAAAGATCATTTATAGAGGAGATAATGATCAGTTTGGAGTAGCCAAAGTGATGCAATACATTCCTTGAGAAGATGAGAGGGACTGGGATCCAAATCATGAGGAAAAGGGTTTCCTGCACTAGGGAAACAAACAAACAAACAGACCCACAAGTACTATAACAACATAAAAAATTCTCTGAAAGAGGCTAAATTATCCCACCTTACAAACAGATTATATAAATACTTGTAATTTTGAATCCTCATGATTTTAGGCCTTCATTATGAACACTGCTTTGGTGTGGTAATGAACACTCTTAATCTTGGCAGATTATAGGCTAGGCAGTGATAGCTTTTTAATCCTTCTTTTAACTGGCCAAAAATTGCTTTGACTTTTTTTCTTGCCGTTTCCTCAAAGGAATCTACATGAAATCTGCATTACTCTTTCCAATTCGTTGTTTATTTTCAGAGATAAGTACTTTAGAGAAATCCTAAGGTTGAATTAATGTCATGAGAAGACATCAAATAATTGAACGTATTATATGAAGAATAGTAATTTTATAGACAGCAATAAGGTATTAAAAAGCCTTGGGCTTTTTATGATAGCTATATACCTTTACCGCATAAGCAAATACATGAGTTATGACAGTCCTTGTCTGTCTCATGATAGAACTTTGTCTCCAACTCTGAAGGTCATGAATTTGTTTTGATTGTTAATATATTCAGAAGCCTTACTGCGATTAGATTAAGTGAAGCAATTTAACATTTACTAAATTAAGAGAAGCATAATAAAATAGTCCACAAATGAAAGTATGTCTAGTTAAAAACTTACACTAAAAGTCAAAATGACATATTTGAAAAAAATCAAGGGCTGAAAGAATTCTGGCAATTCAATTATATATAGATACAAATAGCCAAGTGTGGTGGTAGATTCCTATAATTCTAGCAGTGGGATGCTGAGATGAGAGGACTGCAAGTTTGAGCCCAGCTCAGGCAACTTAGCAACTGGGTGAGACCATGGATCCAAAACATGGGGCTAAAGAAGTAGCTCAGCATGAAGGTCAGGGGTTTAATCACGAATGCCACAAACAATGAAAATGTCCAACTTCACAGGTAAACGAGAAAACACAAATTTAAATCAATTGAAACTTAATTATCACTAAATAGATTATTTTAAGTAAATAATAATGTTAGTACTATTTAAGGAATGGAGAAATGGACATTCTCTCACACACCATTGAAAATGCTAAAAACCATTTCTAAAAGGCAAATCAGATGATAACATAATTTTTTAAGTTCACTTGCAGAAACTTATTTTACAAAAATAACTATGGATATGTACAACGGAGGTATACATAGTTATAACAAAAATTGAAACCTAAAGACTCAGTAACAGAAATGAATTTGTTATAAAACTGTGATTCAGCAACTCAACATTATACATAATTAAAGATGATAGAAGGAAATTAATTATATGATGAAGTACCACATTTCTAATAATGTAATAATATCTGTAATACTGTGATAAATTAAATAGAAAAGGTTCCAAAAGGATATACAAATATCACATTTTACTAAAAGTTCACATATTTGCAAAAGTTATACATCTGAAAGCAAAATAACATATTTTATTTTTTATTTTTATCTAAATACCAAAATTTCTCCCCAAATTGGTTCCATATATTTAAAAGTAGCAAGGGAGAAAAGGCAAGAGGTCTAAAAAAATTTTAACATAAAGTATATATGAACTTTAATTAATATTCTACATATGAATTAGGCTATAAGGCACTTTTGTCCATTTAAGATATATTACCTAAGCTTAGTCTAACACTCAAAAGGAAAGTCAAGTTGGTCAGTAGGAAAAAGACAGTGTATAAGTGTATCACAGGACCTCTTGATTTAATAAAAGTAAGCCCCATAAAATCCTTGCTGATTGTGGTGATGCATACCTATAAGTCCAGCTACTGGGGAGCTGAGACAGGAGGATTGCAAGTTTGAGTCCAGCCTGGAGAACTTAGGGAGATCTCCAAAACAACAAAAAAAGGAGTCATAACCAATGAAACAGTCTTTATGATAGCTGTATTCTCAATGGTAATTTCTTTCTTTCTTTGTTTCTTTCTTTCTCTCTCTCTTTTCTTTTTTTTGTACCAGGGATTAAACTCATGACCCTATGTTTGCCAGGCAGGTGCTTATACCCAGTCTAAACCCCTGGTCCAGAGTACAAATGGGTAATGAAATTGCCTTCTTCTTCCTTTTTTTTTGATAGTGGGGATGATACTCATGACCTTGTGCTTATCAGGCAGGTGCTTACACTACTGAGTTAAATCCCTAGCCCTCAATGGCAATTTCTTTTCATCATCTCAGAATAAAAGATGGAGGTTCTTTGTTGCACTGTTTCAATGTGTTCACTTTCATGTATTTGTATTTGTGTTTTTAAGAGACTAAAACTCAGTATTATGACTTACCAAATAAAAGCAATCAAAAGAAATGTTATGAAGTGGAGAAACATTTTCCATTTTAAAGACTATACTTGCCTTTGGATTGTTTGCATCAAACAGTCCAGTCGAAAGTCCAATCAACAAGGAGTTCTTGTTTTTATTTTGTGGTGGTGATTCAGAGTGACATCGAAGTGGAATAGATTCTTCCGGGAAACAATGAATTGACTGAACTTGAGAGACTATATTCAAGTGTTCATAACAAACCACCTTATGGAAAAATGGTTCTGGTTGTACAGACTTATCAACATCATATTTAGAATGGTGAGAATCATCTAGTCCTGGTTCTGTGGTACAAAAGAGAAATTATGTTATAAGCATATATAGTAAATAAAGTTCTTTTTTTTTGGTACCAGGGATCGAACTCACTACCTCGTGCTTGCCAGGTGGGTGCTTATGCCACTGAGCTACATTCCCAGCCCCATAAAGTTCCAAATAACATTGACAAGGCATAATATTTAACATAAATTTTATCAAAAAGCCTCACATCTATCAGAAAAACAAAATATAAAAATGTATGTGAATATATGAACTTATAAATAATCTTTATGAGGACATAATGTTTCATTTTCAGAAAGGTTTGATATATACTTCCATTATATTGAAAGTATTAAAACAGACACGAATCCAAAGAAATAACTAGACATTATTTTCCAGTTTCCTTTGTTCCCATACATAGAAAAAAGTGCATTTCTTATGTCGCAGCTAATACTACAGAGACGACTACAGTGATGCCTCTGTTCATAAACTTAATTTGTTCCATGACTCTGGAAAAGATGGCCACATTCATGTTCTCACAGGAAAGATGGCTATAGTCATGTTCATCACCCAATGCAGGGTTTGCAAACAAAAACAAAATTTTGTCAAGAACTGATGTTTGTGAATTAAACTGTTGCAAGTAAAAGCATTTGCGAACCACGGTACCACTGTAATTTAAAAAGAGGATGATATATTTAATAAGCTTAGTATATGGTTTTAGCTTGGCAAGTAATCCTTTTCATCTTAAACATGCAATAAAATAACTGATCAAAAATTTTAATATCCAGGTGTATAACCCAAGCTTATTAATTCAGATTGTAGTGCTCTATGCCTATTTTATTTTAAAAATCATTGTGATGACTGATAAGAAATGTACTATTTATATGTTTCTCAAATAAAACAGGTGGTATTAACTATAACCCAGGAACAAATCAGATTAATGCAATGATATTTACCTATAATAACCTCACTAAGCTGGTCAACATTCTGCAAGATTTCATCTTCAGAAACTTCATTATGCTGAATGGCAACTTTGTCTTCCAACCTGTCATAGATAGACACATCAGTTAAAAAGGCACAGTTTACCAAAAATCAAAGCATTTACAACACAGAAACAAGTTCACTAGCATTCTATGATTTCTCTTGCAAGGCCTTTTCTCTTTTATATATACTTTCTCTTATAAGCAAACAATTTTTCACTTTGTTGAAAATTTACTAATCAGCAATCATTCATACATTCTGACAGTCTAAATTGTTACAATCCCTGGAAAGAATAACTGAATTGCTAATGAAATTTATAAAATACAATTGTATTTTACATCCATTATATTTCTATGTTTTTATCTTACCAATATCCATGCAAACATCACTCTATATAAAATGCTATTAATTGCATCATCGTTTGTGATTTACTGGCAAAGTGTTTTACTGGCTATCTACATATACTTTATTTACTCATTGATTTCTGAACATGTGAACATCTACTAGTCTTATAAAATTATTTTATAGCGTATTATAATATTAGGATATTAAATTATAATACTACATTACTATGGCATTATTTCTAAGAAGGTATTACAAAAGGGATCTGGGCTTTGAAATGTAAGGAAAAACACAAAACCTACTCAGTTTGCTTTGTTTCTTCTTCCTCACTAACCCACACATTATTAATAATACATGGCAAACTCCCATCTTTGTTTTTCCTACTTGGCTCTTGAAGAACTTCTGTTTCCAAATCATCAGGTTCTGCAAAGTAAAAAAGAAACAAAAAAGGTGTCAAAAATTTTTTTTGCAAAACAATTGAATTAACTTGGTCTTCAATTTTGACTTGGAGGGTTGCCACAGCCTGGTGTATTGAACAGAGGGCCTCTGGAGTGCAGCAGGGTGGGGGTGAGGAGGGAGGCACCTCACAAACCCACAGGCTGTATAAAGCCAGGTAAAGAAACAAGTGACTTGGGGTCACAGACAAACATGAAAACTGGGAGCAGCTGGAGTGAATATAGCCACAGGGCCACGTACTACTGACCAACCAGGCACAGCAGGCACGGTGAGGCAGGACTTGGCATGCACACCCAAAAAGTAAGCCTGGAAACAAAATAGGAAAGTAGTGACTCATTATCCTGCTCATAGATCTGATTCCAAGACTACAGGCTGGAGAAGAAACCACTCACTCAAATACACTGAGGAATTTTTGGGAGTCATTTCCATTTTTCTTTTTTGTTTTTTCTATTTTCTTTTCTTTTGCCCTTTGTCTACTTTTCTTCTTTTTCATGTTTTTTCTTTTCTGTTACTTTTACCTGATTTCCTTAATTTTCATTTACTCTTTTACTCTTTCATTGAATGCTTTAGTTCTCTCTCTTCTTCACATTGTCCTTTTCAAATTTTACTTCTTTCATTTTCCCTAACCCCTCCAAAGTTATCAGTATTACTTTGTTTGTTTGAGACAGGGTCTGGCTGTAACCCAATATCTGGTTTGACTTTGCATAATTAACATTGTTGTAGTCTGTTCTTGGAGAAAGTTAGATGAATTATACAAAACTCACCCCTCCCCAAATTAATGGAGGCAGCTGGATCATGGGATACAGGCAAAGGCCAACCATTAGCCATCCTTAGCACTACACTGGGAAAACAGACACTTATTAAAGGGAACTCCAGACCTGTAACAGTCTTTCCACTTTAACTAATCCTTAGTACCCAGCACAACAGCACACAGTAGAAACATAACAAGACAAAGCAACAAAATGCTTCCAGAAACTCCCACCTTCCCAAGATATATCAATGGGGAGGAACTCAAAAGCCAAACAGCTGAATTAGGGATATTTCAATTGTTGAACCTCTCCAACCTCCAACTTTCCACTACTCCAACAGAGGAGTTGTAAAAAAAAAAAAAAATCCATTCAGTGTTCCTAACATTGCTGGGCAATCAAACCAAAAATGTGACGGTAAAAACCAGTATTGGCTGAGAGTTAAGTCATGCCATGGACATAAAGGGGTGATGCTTCAGTCTAAGCACAGCTTTCACCTGGACAACATACAATGCTTATATTAGTGCATTAAAACAGTCATTTTCCCCCATTTTATTTGGATAAAATATTGTAATCTTGGATCCAAAGAAAGTGACACCAACAGTGAAGCTAAGAAGAAAACTGTGAGAACCATAATAGAGTTAAAGAAAGAAATCATTGCAAAATTTAATAAAGTCCTAAAAAATGAATTAATAGTATAATTTCTGGTCTCAGGAGTAATTATTTGGTTTCCCATTATTTCTTATGGGAAAAAATATGCACAGTTCTTGAACTTTTAAGTGTTTAGACATGAATTTAGAACAAACTGAGTTTTGACAACGTAGGTATCACTGTATATGATATGAACAAAAAACAGATCAATAAAGTGTTTGGTAAGCTAAAGATGCCATAACTGAATTTAATAAATGAAACGATCAGTAAGCTTAAAGAAGACATTAATAAAAAGCAAGCTGAAATAAATAAAATGATTCAAAGGTGAGTGCTCCAAAGAATTAGAGCCCATGAAAAGGTATTACAATACACAAATCCAAGAGGAAAAATTGTATTGAAAGTATGGGTAGCAGATTCCATCCTAGAGGGCAGCCTGGCTGGAGGACAGTGAGTCTGTAATCTGTGCCTTTCCATTCTAGCCTAGAGGGTGGACTCAACTGAAGTCAGTGAGTTCTCGATCTGGGTCCACCCATTTTATCGTGGAGGGTGGGTTGGCTGTAAGAATGTAAGACTGAAGGGAACTTCAAGACCCAAAACACATATGGGTGCACAGATGCACACTGATGTTAAGATCAGATCCATACCCAATATATCTCTGGGGTGCTACACAGAGATTAGCAAAGAAATGTAAACATCAGAAAAAGAAACTGAACACAGACACTCCTATGAGCCTGTCAGTAGCCATTAGGCACTGGTATCCAGCTCTAGTAGGGAGAACCAGCCAGCTAAGCTACTGTGTACCTGCCACGATTGGGGGAGCCTCAGAGTAGCTACACATGTCTGGAGAAGCCAGCCCTATACCCAACACCACCCTGGGAACCCAGGATAGGAGAAACCCAGGTGCCTGACCCATTTCCCTACACTGTGGACTGACAGCCAGCATGGGAAGTAAATGGGACCCCACAACCTGCTTGTCTAGAAGAACTCAGAAAATGTCAAGACAAAGAAGCAAAAGGCAGTCTCTGGTCTCCAACACATACAAAGCCATGTCCAAGATATAAATTTGGAAGAGATTGTAAGTTGTACACATGAAGTTTCTAAAGTGATGGTAACCACAGTAAAATAACAACTTCATAAGGCGATTAAAGACATTAAATTAGGTGACGGGAAGATGGCGGATCATTAAGCAGCAAAATAGGGAGCCTCTCTGAGAGAAACAGCTCAGATGCTAGAATAAAACATCCCAGAGAAGACCAGATAGACAGAGACAGATCCTCTAAATCCAGGAAGAAACTAAAGAGAAAGGAAAAAAAAAAAAAAAAAAAAAAAAAAAAAAAGAAAATCATGGACGGACGGCTGTAACCAAACTTGCTCTCACCAGCGCTTGTCCCATTGTGTATGAAAAGCCGCTAGAATCCAGACACATATGGGTGTGGTGAAGTTGGAGGTTGGTGAGCCCATGGGCCTCAGTGGGAGGAAGTGGTCACAGAGGGGAGCGGTGGAGCAGAGAGCAGCACTCAGCTCGGAGATCTGTACTGGCTTGCAGTGAGTGCAAGGAACTTGGTCCTTGGGTGGGTATGGGCGACTGCCCCATGACATTTTGGAGTTCAGCAGGACAAGCCTAGAACCAGAACAGCAGTGGCTTCAGTCAGCCACTCCTAGTACTGAGCAGATGGTGAGAACTGCTTGGACTGAGTCCTGCCTCTATGTATGGTCCAGTAGCAAAGGACGAGGTCTCTCTGAAACTATACCTAATTGGTCTTGTCTGTGTGGCACATACTAATATGGTGAAGACTCTCGGAGCTTGACCAACTCAGAAGGGAGGGGGCAGCCCGCCCTGCCCCTGCTGGTACTTCAGTGATCATCAGCAGACTGGGGAGGGCAGCAATCCCTAGCCAGCATGCTTCAGAGTAATAGTGGCTAATACAGGAAGTGCTGAGGACTCACATTGTCCACTGTCTGGAGGAAACCAGAAACATGACAAGAGGAAGAAACAAAAGGAAATCTTTAGTCCCTAATACAAACACTAATGGCCTGGGGAAGATAAACACAAAAGAGATCAGAGGTTGCACACCTATAGTGTTGGAAAAAGCAGCATTAGACATAAAGAATTATCATTGTGACATTATAGAAGAATTAAAAACAGAAATTCTAACACAAGTAAAGAAAGATAATAACAGAAATGCTAAGTACCTCTCAAGAAGACACAGATGGGAGAATGGAGGGACATAGAAAAAGGAGAGGAACCTTTGATGAAGAATATAGAAAAATCTAGAATACATGAAACAGATTCAAAGAGACTACCAGGAAATTAAAAACTCCATTGAAAGCTGGCAAAACTGCTTGAAAGAAACTAAAGACTATCAAACCTTGAAGACAGGTTTGCAATGTGCGATCATGAAAGGAAAGATCTCTTAAAAAAAAAAAAAAAAAACAAAACAAAAAAACCAAAAACTAAACAAACAAACAAAAAAAAAACCCAAGGAACCAAAAAGTAACAATATGAAGGCTAGAAGATAAGAAGACGATCTATAACTTAAGAATAAAAAATGTGAGTGAAGAAGCAGGGGTAAACACAAATGAAATACAGAGGCTACTTACAGAAATAATTAAAGGAAATTTCCCAAGCATAGGAAAAGGAAATGATATTCAGTTATGTGAGGCATACAGAACTCCAGCCAGCTATAACTAAAATAGATCTATGCCCAGACATATAATAATCAACATCCCAGAAATTCAACACAAGAACAGAATATTAAAAGTTGTCAGAGAAAAGAAACAGTGTTTATCATCTATAAAGGAAAACCCATCAGAATCACAACAGACTTTTCAACACAAACCATCAAATCAAGAAGAGCTTGGAGAGAAGTACTTCAAGCTTTGAAAGAAAATAACCTCCAACTCAGTACGAAACTATCTCTCAAAATTAATGGAGAAACAAGACGCTTCCATTACAAAGAGGAACTGGGGGAGTTTGTGACCATCAATCTTACCCTACAAAAAGTACTGCAGGACATTATAGAGAGAGAAAGAAAAAAAAAAAAAGACCATGGTTTCAAGAATAGCAACAGGGAGACACACTGAATGGGGCAGACAGTGGAATAAAGGGGAAAAGTAGAAAACCAATGGCAAAAAAATAGCATGGCAGAGATGAGCCAGATAAGATTGGCCATAATCACTAACGTGGATGGCCTCGATACACTAATAAAAAGAAACACAGACAGAGTGGATCAGGAGATAGAATCCATCAAGATGCTCTATATAAGGAACATACTTAACCTGAAAGAAGGTTTATGGACTGAAAGTCAAAGATGAGAAAATAATGGTCTATGGGACAGAGAACCAGAAAAAGTGGAGGTAGCTCACCCATCAGCTGCAGATTGATTGGAAAGACATAACCCTATTATACAATGGAGAACTACTCAGCTATAAGGAAAGAAAATCTTGAGGTTTTTGTAAGTAAATGGATCAACTTGAGATCAAGCTCAGGGGTAAAAAGGATCAGAATCACTTAGCTAAAGAACGGGTTGCCTCCTTAGTCTAAAAACTAAAGGAGTTAGCGGGATACAA